TTTTTTTATTTATTTTATTAGTTTTTTTTTAAATTTATTTCATAATAGTAACTGTCATTTCTGTAATACATGTATATAACTTTTGAATGAAATATTTCAGAATTTCTGCTGTCATGGTCATATATTTTCTTCATGAATTATGAATTTAATTAAATTTTATCATTTATAGATCTAATTTAGATCAAATGATGATAAAGGAAAGACATCCTCGAGTTCCACGGCCTTTTTCGGCATTTTCATGTTGCCGACATCAAAGATGATATATGGGATATGATTTTATCATGTCGTATAATACACGGCCCCATGCTGTGTCTGTTATGAAAACAATAGCGCACATGAAAGAATTTAAACTTTTAAACATTTCTTTGTCGGTCATTTTCTTAAAAAAATCGCCGCTGCTACCGGAAATATTTTATTGCAGGGGCCAGAGAGATACCCCTAGTCAGGACGTTAATTAATCCGTGTATATACACATGTCAGCTGTCATAAACAAAAACAAACATCAAATCCATTATACCATGCCTGGCACGTGAACGACCCGTGATCATATAAATACTATTAATTCATTAGTTGCTATTTTTAGACACTTTTTGTCTTACGATTCGTTCTATAAATTATCATTGACCCGCGCACTCATTAACTGCGTGACGTAAGGAAAACCCCTCACCTGGTTGGTCGCTAATTATACAAAAACTTTAAACAGTAACACCATAATTTTATGCACGGAATCCCCTCATGAAATGTTGATCTTTACGATAACACAATTTACAGGTCTATTTTCCGGGAAAATTGTTGATTTTTGGACAGAGAAATATTGAAGTCGGCGAAAGTCGCTTCCATTGAGATCATGCATGTCGGCGATTCTCGCTTACATGCGGTAATCGATAAAGCCGTCGATTCTCGCTTCTATCGGGGAATGGTAAAAGACGGCGATTCTCGCTTCTATAAGGGAAAAGGTTAAAGTGTGACCTTGATTTTAAGCCGGCAAAAGGGTGACATGGGTTCTGCACATTACCTTGTTGAGGTGAACATTTGAGCCAAGATTGAGGAAAATCTTTCAATTAGTGTAGGACTTACAGAGCGGACACAACATACTGTGTAATATTTGATTGTTTGATATTTGACCTTCAATTGTGACCTTGACCTTGAGCTGACACATGGGCAACATGGGTTCTGCACATCCCCTTATTGAGGTCAACATTTGAGCCAAGTTTGAGGAAAATCTTTCAATTAGTGTAGGACTTACAGAGCGGACACAACATACTGTCTAATATTTGATTGTGTTTGATATTTGACCTTCAATTGTGACCTTTGAGCCAAGTTTGAAGAAAATCCTTCAATTGGTATTGGAGTTATAGAGCTGACACGAAAATGGAGACGGACAGACCGACCGACGCGACAAAGCGATTCCTTTATAGCCCCCCCCCCCTACATTTTGTAAAAATACTAAAAATATCCACATGAAAATACCCAGGTGCACAACTACACATGCTGAGCAACATTCCTGTAAGGTTTCATGACTCTAGGTCAAATACTTTTTTAGTTACATGCGACACAAGTTGAAAATTGGAAATTTTTACTAATTCAAGGGCAATAACTCTGAAAAAACTAAATATATCAACACAAAAATACCCAGGTGTACAACTACACATGCTGATCATCATTCCAGTGAGGTTTCATGACTCTAGGTCATATATTTTATGAGTTACGTGCGACACAAGTTGAAAATTGCAAATTTTTACAAAGTCAAGCGAGATCACTCTAAAAATACTAAATATATCCACATGAAAATACCCAGGTGCATAACTTCACATGCTGATAAACATTCCTGTAAGGTTTCATGACTCTAGGTCAATTACTTTTTGAGCTACCTGCAACACAAAAAGAGAACAGACGGACAGATGGATGGACGGAAGGACGGACGTTCCTACGAATGGTCATTTATTGGGTACTTCTTTTGTTTAAAAGTACCCAATAAGAGAACAAAAGTACCCAACAATACTGACGGAACTAGAACTGCCACTATCATGGCGTGAATACCCCCTCATACCACTTTGTCAGAATCAACAGTGGCCATTTAGAGCTCAAGGACAACCTCCCTGCCAAATCTGAGGTTACTAAGCCAGTGCATTGCTAAGTTTTGTATTCTACATGCTTCAAATGTGAAAATGTCAAAATCAATACATTGCGGACAGGACATTCTTTAACAATTGAGAAGAAAAGCTTTTTTCTGTCAAGGTCCCTGTGACCTTGACCTTTGACCCAGTGACCTCAAAATCAAAAGGGGTCATCTACTTATCATGATCAACATCCATGCCAAATATGAAGACTGTGGGTCAAAGGAATCTAAAGTTATTGGGCAGACAAACTTTTTGAAGTCAAAGTCCCTGTGACCTTGACCTTTGACCTGGTGACCTCAAAATCAATAGGGGTCATCTACTATTCATGACTAACCTCCATTCCAAATATAAAGACTGTGGGTCAAAGGAATCTTAAGTTATTGGGCGGACAAGCTTTTTGAAGTCAAGGCCCCTGTGACCTTGACCTTTGACCTGGTGACCTCAAAATCAATAGGGGTCATCTACTAATCATGACTAACCTTCATGCCAAATATGAAGACTGTGGGTCAAAGGAATCTTAAGTTATTAGGCGGACAAGCTTTTTGGAGTCAAGCCCCCTGTGACCTTGACCTTTGACCTGGTGACCTCAAAATCAATAGGGGTCATCTACTAATCATGACTAACCTCCATGCCAAATATGAAGACTATGGGTCAAAGGAATCTTAAGTTATAGGGCGGACAAGCTTTTTGAAGTCAAGGCCCCTGTGACCTTGACCTTTGACCTGGTGACCTCAAAATCAATAGGGATCATCTACTAATCATGACTAACCTCCATGCCAAATATGACGACTGTAGGTCAAAGGAATCTTAAGTTATTGGGCGGACAAGCTGTTTGAAGTCAAGGCCCCTGTGACCTTGACCTTTGACCTAGTGACCTCAAAATCAATAGGGGTCATCTACTAATCATGACTAACCTCCATGCCAAATATGAAGACTAAGGGTCAAAGGAATCTTAAGTTATTGGGCGGACAAGAAAAAACCGACGGACAGCCGGACGGACGGCCGGCCGGACGGACGGACGGACAAGCTGATTCCAGTATCCCCCCTTACAACTTTGTTGTGCGGGGGTATAATGAATAGAATTACCCAACAATTGTCCTCTCGTTTCCCCGGACAGACGGACAAGGGTAAATCTAAATGACCCCCCCACCCCCTATAGTGGGGGCACAAAAAATAATTTCAAACACCAAGTAGTTGAAATGCTCACTTGTGGAGTCAATGCGGACACCGAACATATTTATTTTTCTGCCTGTCACAAAGTACATGGGTCACTTCTGTCGACTGTGGTAAGGGATTGTCACACTTTGACTGTAGTCAAAAGTGATATGGACCTGATAAATTGACCAAACAAGAGCTGTCCGTAAGACAGCGCGCTCGACTTTTTTATTGCTTGCCAATAAAAAAAGTTTTTGCAGTAAAAGGCAATACAAGAATCTCTGTATTTTTAAAGTGAACAATGGCCATGAGCATTAAGATATTTAGTGAAGAATTATTTTACTGAATTGTGTGATACCCTTGAACACTGCAGCAAAGTTTGAAATGTTTAAGTCAAAAGAGGGCTGGTAAGAAAGAAAAAAAAACTGAGTTGAGTTTTTTAGTGCTTGCCTATAATACAAAACATTGACAGTTAAGGGCCATAATTCAAATAAAATCTTTGACAGAATTACCTTCTCCTGGACATGTTTGGGAATCATGATTGTAAACAAGTATTCCAACTTTCAAATTAATATCTCAAACAGTTCAGTCAAAAAGTGGACTGGTACTAAAAACTTAACCAAGATTCTAAGTCGATAAAAGGCCTTAATTTTTAAAACAAATCCTTGACAGAGTTACCTTCTCTTGCGTACAGATGGGGGTAATGATGTGAAATAGCATTAAAAGTTCAAAGCAATATCTCAAAGGGTTAAGGCAATAAGTGGATTTTACCCATATTCAATGTATTTTCTAAGTCAAAAAGGGGCATAATTCTGTCAAAAACCTTGACAGAGTTATGTCCTCTTGTCTGTTGATGAAGGTCGTGATGGTAAACAAGTATGGTCAGTTTCAAAGCAATACCTCCAATGGTTTTGAAATAAAGTGAGGTGGTACAAAAAACTTAACCAAGCTCAATACACTTTCTAAGTCAAAAAAGGGCCATAATTCTGTCAAAAACCTTGACAGAGTTATGTACTCTTGTCTGTAGATGGAGGTTATGATGGTGAACAAGTATGGTAAGTTTCAAAGCCATACTTGTAATACTTCTGAAATAAAGTGGGGTGGTACGAAAAACTTAACCAAGGTGTGACGCCAACGCTAACGCCGACGCCAACGCCGGGGCGAGTAGGATAGCTCCCCTTTTCATAGAAAAGTCGAGCTAAAAATTAATCAATAAAATATTGAACATATTTTTTATATTATACATGTATGTTGACTGTTTTAATGATGACTTTATTTACATTTTATTAATATTATGGTATTCTGACTAATATAAGTTGCATGTACGTACATGAAAACTTTTGTCATTTGATTTTTTTTTTCAAAATGACAAGTTTCATTGTTAAACCAATATTTTGGAATTATCAAATATAAAAACAGTAGCCTTCAGACTATTGCACTCTCAATATGTTATTTAAACTGATAATTATAATATTTCATGTTTATAACGTCATTTTTTCTATGGATAATAGTGACGTTAATATAATCTGTATACACTGCTGCAGTCCATTTATAAATTTATTTCATATTTCCTCTAATACAGAAAGTTTGCAGTATAATAAATTCTTGACATTTTATCTGGCTGAATGTAAACAGTTATTTGCATTTGCTTTATGGTTCGAGTTATATATACCAGAACCGTTTATATATGGTCATATAACTGTCATATAACCGTCATAGGCATACCTTACTGAACTCTGTGGAAAATGGAGCAACGGGTATTGTCGGTCAGATGTAACCAAACACCTATTCTCTAACGTCATGTATGACTGTTGTTCTATTTGAGCATCCTGAAACATTGAGATAAAAAATATATTGTGGTTTTCCAGATACACTGAACACAGTTCATTCAATCCAAAGCAAAACTATATTAATATACAGTTAAATGTACTGTTTCATTGAAAACCAAAATGAATGTACAGTCGAGATTGCCTTAGCAACCCCCTGATTTAAACGACTCCCTGTCTTATCCGACCTTGTTTCAGTACTCCCAACGTATTTTCCTATATAAATGGTCTGAATTAAACGACTCTCTGTCATATGTGACAAGCGACCCTAATTGTCTGGTCCCAATGCAATGTTTTGTCTGATTTAAACGACTTTCACACCTTTTAATTGTCCGTTAATCAGATAAATAATACCTATTTTAACACCCAGAGGGCCAAAATAATTAAGTCCAATTATAATCCAGTAGCAAACAAAGTCTCAATTACACAGTTAACATGTACATGTATATCACATAATGACCTGAGTAAACTGGATTAAGCTTGTGTCAGATTTTTTTTTTAATTATAGAGTGCCAACGGAAGATATTTTAGGAAGCATTTTTTAATTTACCTTTCTATGGCTGCATAATTAATACGGAAAAAAAATCGATATCAAACCAGAAAAAGATTTGGATATGGATATGTTTAACTTTTACAAGTATGGATTTGAATGCATCAAATTCCAGTTAATTCATACCATAAAGATTCAATTTAAATCTTAATACAAAAAATAAAATTAAATTTTATGTGATATACATGTACATGCTAATATATATTCGTTTTACATGGATTCTTATTTTATTTACATAAAAAAAAAATACGAATACCCATGTTTATTTGCAATTGGTTAGATATTATTCCTTCACACAGTTATGTATGTTAAGTAACAATGGTATATAGACAGATAGATGGTATTTAAATTTAATTTTCTTTGAGACTGTATTTAGAGACCCCCTGTCATATGTGACCTTTTTCTGAAGATCCCTTGGAAAGTCGCATATGACAGTCTCGACTGTACATGTATATAAAATATTTATGATTTTTATGACTACTGTTATACTTACATGAGATTTAACAAAGGGAAAAATAAAAAGGTACTTTGACAAAGCAGTTTGAAGGACAGCTTTATCCTCTTCCGCAGTGAACATGAAAGTCATTATGGTGATCATTTCTGCCTAGCCTGGGATTCAGGCGTTGATATTTTTTACTTATTCATAACATACGCGCTATTTCATACTCGATCGTCATAGATAACACAACATCTCTGGTTTCGATAGTATCAACACCTGGGGAAACCTGCGGGGTTTCCCATGTAATTATTTGACTAATGATAATCCTATTAATAGACCGATTAGCACGTGACCAACATATTACATGACTAAATCGAAATCGAGGCGAAGATGATGAATATTGAAAATTTGACGCCATTTACTATTATGAATTGCGTCCAGCACAATTCTATGATGCTCACAAACTTTATCCAATTCAACTAATCAAACCTGTTGATCGAATTCAATCATCATGCAATAAACTTTGTCAACAAGTGTTAGTATTTAATCGGAAATGGTGTTTTGAAAGCGAGGCTAAGTAACTGTTCGTTGAGCTTCGGGTCACTTTGTGGAAATTCTGTTTCTTTTTTTAGAAACTAGTTTGTCGTTGCATGAGTTATCGTTCTTTAAATAACACCAGTAATTATCAGGGTGAATACTAGGTGGCGCTTCGATCGAAAATCGTATTTCCCTAGGCTGTCGATTTGCTGAACAGAAGCACATAAAAAATCAACAGACTGGAACCCAGGCTAATTTCTGCCAAATTATCTTAAAAACATTGCAGCGGTTTAAATGTTATGGAGCGGACACAAAATGTAGACTTTTTATTATGAAATGAAGACTTTTTAACATTTTACCTTTAAGTGTGACCTTGACCTTGGGGTAGCAACCCAATCATTGCGCTCTGCACATTGTTTCATTATGGTGATCATTTCTGCCAAGTCATTTCAAAATTTGTTCAGCGGTTTAAAAGTTATAATGTAGACTTTTTAACACTTGACCTTTAAGTGTGACCTTGACCTTGGGGTTAGCAACCCAATTATTGGAATGTGTAAATCGTCTCATTATGGTTATCACTTGTTCCAAGTTATTTAAAAAAAATTTCAGCAGTTAAAAAGTTATGGAGCGGACACAAAATGTAGACTTTTTAAAACTTGATCTTTAAGTGTGACCTTGATCTTTTGGGTAGCAACCCAATTATTGCACTCTGCACATTGTCACATTATGGTGATCACTTGTACCAAGTTATTTCAAAATTTTAAGGCAGTTTACAAGTTATTGGACGGACACACAAAATGTAGACTTTATTGTGAAATGAATTTTTTAACATTTGACCTTCAAGTGCAGGGTTCTCGTTAGCATTTTGAAACTGGAGCCAGGGTCCATGCAGGGGGTGGGGGTGTTGAAGGGGGAATTTTGCATGATTTTCAAATATTTTTCATTCAAGGGGGAATTTTTTTTCGGTAGACTTGAAATTGTGCGACATGTTGGAATGCTAAAAACTGTCCGGAACGTTTTATTTATATATACGTACTAATTTCCGATTGCCGTTGTCATGTAAACCTTGCTGAATTAAATAACCCACACAAGCCCAAAATCAATTTAAAATCCTGCACTGTAAATAGGACGGCTAACACAGGAAGTTAATGGCGTTTGATTAACTAGGGGACACAACTAAAGCTGGACTGTAAATTACAGTGTAATTTAGTTGTGTCCCCTAGTTAATAAAATGCCATTACAGTAATGGCTAACTGTTAACACTACATTCAAGATTTATATTTTTCTTTCGGAAGTTTTTAGTTTCTTTTAAAAATAATTAGTATTATTTGTGAATAATTTATAATATATGTTTACATCATTGAATTGTTTTAGAAAATAATAATGTCAATATTCATTGAACAGTAAGTAAACTAGAAATGTGTCCATAGGACACGGGTGCCCCCACCGCGCCACTGTTCTGTCAATCTTATGACTTTAGGTCAAATATTTTTTAAAAACTAAAAATCTTTTACTAAGTAAAGGGCAAGAACTTTACAAATACTGAATAAATCCACAAGCAAACCCCAAGGTGCATAAGTACACATGTTGACCAACATTCTTGTAAACTTTCAGGCCTACAAGTGAAATACTTTTTGAGCTATGCATGGACAAGTTGAAAATTGCAAATAAGTTGAAATTTATACTACTGTAAGTCAAGGGCAATAACTCTAACAAAACTGAAAAAAAATCCACATGCAAAGTCCCAGGTGCATAGTTTCACAGTGATGTGAATCATTATTACTGTAATTTAGTGATGTTGATCATTATTCCTGTAAAGATGGTTGATTCTAACTCAAGCACTCAAGGAACAAATAACAACACAATGAAACAGTTTTTCTTAAGTCAAAGGAAATAACTCTACAAATACAGGATAAATCCACAAGCGAAACCCCAGGTGCAAAACTAAATACAGGGCCTTTTTACCTTCTATAACAGGGGCCGGTATAGGGCTGCTTCCCCAAAGAAAATTTCTTTAAAATCATGCAGTTTTCCCCAAAAATTGAATTTACATTAAGTTTTTTCTTCCCCTTTTGCAAATATACCATGTAATTCTTCCCCAAAATTAAGGGCTGGGCTGCTTCCCCAAACTGTGAAAAAAAGCCCTGAAATATGCTGAGCAACCTTCCCGTAAGGTTTAATGACTATGTCAAATCCTTTTTGAGTAACATGCTACACAAGTTGAAAAATGCAAAAAATTTCTAAGTCAAGGGCAATACCTCTAAAAATACTAAATAAATCCAGACGAAAATACCCAGTTGCACAACTACACATGCTGATCAATATTCCTGTAAAGTTCCATGACTCTATGTCAAATCCTTTTTGAGTTACATGCGACACAAGTTGAAAATTACAAAATATTACTAAGTCAAGGGCAATGACTCTAAAAATACTAAAAATATCCAGATGAAAATACCCAGGTCCACAACTACACATGCTGATCAACATTCCTGTAAAGTTTCATGACTCTATGTCAAATACTTTTCGAGTTACATGCGACATAAGTTGATAATTGCAAAATTTTACTTAGTCAAGGGCAATAACTCTAAAAATACTAAAAAATATCCAGACGAAAATACCCAGGTGCACAACTTCACATGCTGATCAACATTCAGTAAAGTTTCATGACTCTAGGTCAAATACTTTTTGAGTTACGTGCGACACAAAAGAGAACGGACGGACGGAAGGACGGAAATACTTACGAATGATACATTGTGTGACTTTTCCTTTGATCTTTATAGTCCAACAAGGCTTAAAAAAAGACACACAAGTAAAAACGGAATGAATAGAATCAAAGAGAATATACTGTTACCAAGTCAAACAATGTATCATTCGTAGGTACGGACAGACCGACGGACAGAAGAACGGACGGACAAGGGTAAATCTAAATGCCCGCCACTAAAGTGGGAGAACAAAAATCTTCAGTGTTATATATGTAGGCGGTGGGTGGGGTAATTTCTCAATGAGCGTTCTAATGAGAGCCTTGTTAGAACGCGGTGTTGAGACATTGGACCCCAACATGAGCGTTATAATGAGGCTGTAGTGTAATTTTAATGCAAAAATTCCTGGATTCATCATTGTATTTAAACATTATTTTATAATATTATCACTAGAAGCTTAAGATCTATATTAACATGCTATACATACACAGTCTTGTTCTCTATTATAAATTGTATATTTACACTGCTCATCATCTATGAGACAGGAAACCAATGGCCATACAAGTATTATGCATGATATAAATACAAATACACTCAGTAACACTCACATTGATAAGGGCCTGTGGCCATTTCACTTAAGCTCCTAAGACTAGCAAAAAGTTCTAACATAAGAACTGATCAACATAAACTTCTGAAATAACAAGAGGGCCATGATGGCGCTAGATCGCTCACCTGACTTATCAAACTCATCCAAACAATTACCTAGACAAGTATTCTG